GGTGTACCTAATAAAGTGGCCGGTGAGTGTATATAGTCATTTGAAAAATAGAAATACTGTGTTTCTACATAGAATAACAGGTTACAACCTTGTAACTTTGGCAACTGTTGGTGGGCCAAATCAAATGGCTTGGTGGGCCAAATTTGGCAAGATCAAAGGCGGGCCCCACTTTGGGCTCCTCTTTTGTAATGTGTACTTCCATGTGTCATTTTGGAGAAATCTACAACAACGCAAACACTAAGTATGAAACACCTCCACTGCCGGCGAGGGCGCGCGCTCCAGAGCGCGACCAAAACTCAGCCTTTAGAATCATATGGATGAGACGATTCCATTGGTCATGARTCWGCTTTGGGTGGACTGGACTGACACAGTCCCGATGGGTCTGCCAGCTCCCTCTGGAAAGCTCCTGTGAAACCCCAGTTCAATCGCTGCTGCTGCATGTTCATGCGTGGCGCAAGCGACTACTCGCTGCGTCACGTTCCCAGAGCGCAGCAGTGCCAAACTAAAAAGATTTTTCCTCAAAACGGCTGATGASCCACTCGTCATCAGAAAATTCTATCTGTTTATAAATAAAAGCTCTGCGTGTTACACTATTATATCCTCCAGTTAGGCTGAATCTGTTCCTGTTAAATGTATTTTTGGCACAACTTCATGCGTCCTTTATTTAATTGCGTCCATGTGGATGTAATAATTGTTAATCATGTGATGTAATAACTGTTAATCATGTGTGTCTGGTGTGAACAATAAACATTTTCACATCATGAACAGTTTCTCAGAATCACCTCTAAGTGTCGCCWATGGAACCAGAACCACAGAAACGTGTGACACCAGCCCTGGAGTTGGAGTGGAGCTGCGCGCTTTTCCACGTTCAGTTGAGTTTTGATACATCTGGAGTTTTGCGTGGATAATGACGCACGCAAGGTTTTTGTGTGTACACACCGGTGATACATGAGGCCCCAGGTGAGGACTAGGAGGTAAACGTTAAACGGAGATTCATCTTTGCTTTAATATGGGGCAAACAAATGTTTGTCAGTGAGCAGTGGATCTAACACACAGCGTGCACGCACTGTGCAGAACGTGCACAGCCTCGCTAGCGATGGAGGGGTTTATATTTGGCGCTTACGTTATTATAGTAAAACAGGACATGTGGCAGAACACTTTATAACTTATAAAATGTTGTAGGATAGGAGAGCAAACGCACAATGGACAAACAAACTGAATGTCATGCGCAGCCTTTGCTCGAGCAGTTTGGTCACGCACATAAAGTTGGACATATCTGTTGGATAACGGCGCTCTGAGCACAAATATTTAGTATAAAGTTAACTTTTATAGAGCAAAGTCCAAGGAGAGAAATGAGTGAGGAGAGGTTTCACTCAGGACTGACCGCTGCTCTGCTCCTGCAGACTGCTTTACCTGCTGCTGTACTGACCRGCTCTGCTCTGATTGGATAAAGGTCAGCTGGGGTTTGTTTCATTTGATGAAAGTAGTGGAGCGTTTAGGGGTAACCTGGGTGGCTTTAACAAGACCGCAACAGAAAACAACCAGAGTCCCCCCCCTCCTTACAGATGACGGAAATCCGTCCTGGCCACATTCAAAGTGACGGAAATCCATCGTGGTGATGGAGAACTTTAAGCCCTGTAAATTATATTTTTGCATTTGGCCCATTGCCCTTGGATCAATCTTCATTTTGGCCCTCTCTGGGTAAAGGTTTGGGCACCCCTACTCCTGTCCAGCTGACAGGAAACTTGGGGAAGACCCATGTTGGCGAGACCTGCGTGCCTTGGAGTCTCCCTGGATGTGCTGGGAATGGAGTTCTGGGGATCTCTTAAGATGTTGCCCCACAACCCCGTCTCAGATAAAAGGCAGAAGATAGACAGATGGAAAAATTTCGAACCATTGTCAGTTTTTAAATGGTGGCTAGTTACAAAGTTAAAGGTTACTCGGGGTATGTTGAAATAAAACAGTCTGGTGTTGCAAGGCAGCACCACCTCTGTCAGCCTGCCCCAAGGCAGCTGTGGCTACAGCTCACCACCATCACTGTGTGAATGTGTGAATGATTGAAGTGTAGAGTGCTTTGGAGTCCGTAGGAAATATAGAAGTTCAGAACATTTWTCATAAAGTTCTTGACTGTCTCTCCTGCCTCCCCCTCATGGCTCAGTGATATTTACTACACCAACACAACATCACTGCCAGAGATGAGGAACGTGCTGGTGCTCACCATGCCCGACACCAGAAAGTACAAAATCAACTCTGACCTCAAAGACAACAACACGGTAAGGAGGGACGCTGGATGTAAGCATCACTTTGTTTTGTTCTGTCTGTACTTGGAAGGGAAATCATAAAACATTATTCTTCGTGTTTTATTGGGACTCTTAACTTGAAGTCCTAAAATATTGCCGTGAGTTATCTTGTGTTAAAGAGACACTTGTTGGCAGAGAGATGTGGTTGTTTTTAACTTGTTTTGAGGTGACAGATATTTCTCTCTCCTGTGTCTTTGCAGATGAACGACTACATGGCTGCGTACCATGACGCGGTGTTGAGGATAGGCCAGGTGATGAGAGAAATCTCTTCAACAAATCAGTCGGAAATTCAACAAATGGACTTTATGAACGTGAATTACTTCCGAAACACCACGTTTAATGGTGAGAATGGAGGAAAAGATCAGGAAGTGGTGAAGAGTGTCTACCTGCCAGATGTCACCATGTTAGCCTGTTAGCATTATTTAACGTCTTTTTCTGCCTAAAGGTGATCCAACACTGACAAGCAAAATAAAATAATGCACTCAATCAAATCAGAACGAACTATCTCAGTTTGGAGTTTAATCCTGAAAGGACCGATGAGCTAACAGCTACACAACCATGATCAAAGTGGATTGCTGCCGTGTTACAGAGATATTCATGAATTTCACAAGATTTGACAAAATAATGCAGAATGTAATGAGTTACAAAAGTCAAAATAACACTAATAATCGTTCTCACTGGGTTAAATATAGCTATAACTTTTACATGCAAACCCATGTTAAAATGGATGAACTTCTAAATTTCTGCCAGRCTAACATCAGCCTGAAATCTGACAGAGGCCTGTAAGGTTGGACAGACTGAGGTCATCACTCAGTTCAGACATGAGAAGGTTTTCTCTTAAGGGGAAACTGTTCCTGTAATCAGATCTGATTTTCCTGTTCAGCTACACTTTTTTCCTTAATAAAAACAGACTCTATACTATAGAGGTGGGGTTGACATGTACCGGTGCCATCAGGCCCTCTGACCACTACCAGTAGGCAAGACAGGTGAAGCRCAAGGACACAACGACTGAGATAGATGGAACAYGAAATCGAACCGGCAACCCACCGGTTAGAGGACAACTCCCCTAACCCCTCTACCACAGTCATCACAGTCAGTCGTACACGTAGTTTTCAGCATTTATAAGAGAACATGTTAAAACGCTGTTTGTATGCACAAAAAKCAAGTAGAACCCAGTTATTTGTTTRGTCAGCGGTGCTTAGTYTAGCAATAAGACGAAGAACATGATGTTTCATGTTTTAGTCAAAGTTAAACACAAAACGTTGAAGTTAATTCCATGTGGCCTTTTGAGGGCCACCATAATGCTCATGTGGCTCATACCCCTAAAACAAGGAAGTACCCTTCAATGGGCAATATTATGTGTTTCTCTCAGGCATACATTTAAATACTATACCATAAAGTATCTATGTCACTTTTAGTTGTTATTAAAATGCTGTTTTTATG